TGTTACAGCTGTTCCTGATCTCCACTAGGGGCTCCCTCCTTTCTTCTCTTTGCAGATACTGCATAGAATTTAAATTATTTCTTTTTTACTTTCGACATTCTAGAAATTGAGAAGTGAGTAAAGTTATACACTTTATTATACATCATTTTAATTGTATTTTTTTCTTCTACTATGATCTGTGTATTGCTATATTTCAATAACTCACCCTTTTACTTAAAATAGCTCACCACAAGGTTTTAATGCTGTTTTTACATTACATTTTTGCTCTTCTCTTTCTCTAACTTTTATCTAGGTTTCGGATTCAGCATATGGACCACATGTTTTCAGTTCAATTAATAATAACATCTATTTGAAAATATTTTGTGGTTTCCGTGTTGAAATTCCCAAGCATCAGATCTGATTTAGGTTACTCCAATCCATTCAGTCCTTTTAAAAAAAAAATCTATTATTAAATATACAATCTTTTTATCATTTAAAATACATACTGTAATTGTATGCTGAGTTTTGAGTAGCATAGATAATCGCCGAATATTTCCTGGTAGGGTTTCAAACTGTTGCTAACTTTGTTTATTTACAGGTGGGGAGCTGAGTCAGCATGCTTAGGCTGCAACGGAACAAGTAATAGGTTTATTACATGCTGAAAAGAGAAGAAAGAAAACACAACACTATGGCAGTGGAGCCTTCTGAAACCTGAAGAAGGCTCCACGGCCAAAACATTATGTTTTCTTTCTTCTCTTTTCAGCATTGAATAAACCTTTTACTTGTTCTGTTGTTTATTTACTACTGGCAGACATGTTCAGTGGTACTTAGCTTTGACGGTGGCCATAGAGGATCACTATTAGTGGAAAACCAGACCCTACAACTTCATGGAGAACATTTATAGCGGGACAGTGGAAGTATGTAAAGGCAATTTGTAAAAAAAACAGTATTCTGTTTGCGAATTCCCTTTCTGGGTGATGTATTGTTTGCACACTATTACAATCCCCACCATTGAACGGTTCTCTGATGTCATTCACAGAAATCCCGAGAGTCAGACATTGTCTATATAGCTGTGAATTTGATCACTGGTAGAAGGCAGGTTCATTTGTTCTGAAACAATGCAGTTTGGTCTGTATGTTTTTGTATTTTTGGGCTTAGTTGGGCTAGCAGACACTGATGTTGTGCCCACATGCAGACTCAGAGAAGAATTTAACTTGTATGGGCTGTATAAAGAAGGGGATATCATTTTGGGTGGGATATTTGAAATCCACTTTATAACAGTGTATCCTGAACTGTCTTTTACTGCTAAGCCTGAGCAATTGAGATGTGAGCGGTGAGTGACTTTATATACTTGATAGAATGTTTGAGACAGCACAGTTTCCTGACACGAGAGAATGCTTACTATGTTATAAGCTAAATCATTATGTCTATACATACAGGATGTACGCAGAACAATTAAGAAATGTGTTACAAATAAACCTAAGGTGAGTTACAATACCTATTGTGCAATTACATTAATGGAAATAGAAGAATATCATATTTTCTTTAGAATTATTGATCTTATTTTTAATTGTAAGTGCATAAGCGAGTACCTCAATTTTGGAATCAGTTGTCCCTAGATTTCATATTAATGATATAATTTTGTGCATATTTTCAAGTGACAGTCTTAATTTTATCATCTTGTGTCATAGTAAACATGGTGCAAGAAAAAGGCTGCGTTCTGTTTTTTTTATTTAACTCATTATTGTGTCTTCTGCCAGTTTTCACTTTGCAGGATTTCAGTATGCACAGAGCATGGCTTTTGCCATTGAGGAAATCAACAGAGACCCTGCTCTTCTCCCTAACATCACACTGGGATACAGGCTGTATGACAACTGTGAGAACCTAGAAGTGGCAATTCGGGTTTCAACAGCTCTGATCAGCGGAGAGGATGATTCTGTCACTGACTACAGCTGTACAGGGACTCCCCCTGTCTTAGCCATTGTTGGGGATTCTGCATCAACACATTCTATCGCCATATCAAGAATGGTGGGCCTCTTCCGGGTCCCAATGGTACAGTAAGGGACTGATAAGAGGAGCAGTACTGAAAAACATATGGGCAGTACAAGTATTTGTTCAAGTCGATGTTTTTTTAAGTTCTGGATTTTCTTGGCTATGTTTTTTAAAAATATATATTTCTTTACTTTTTGTATTCTAAAATCAAATTAATTCATTAGGTTGTAAATTCATATTAATATTAAATGCATATTAATAAGATCAAATTAATCTTATTAGGGTTGCATAAGATGGCATTTTGAAATGATAAAGTATTCAAGATTCATGAATTACATGACCTCAAATCTGCAATATACAGTACATGAATACATATTTGTTAGGCATTTCTTCATTTCCATGTTTTTAAAGACAATAACTTTGTTCTTTCAATTGCAGGTCAGTTATTATGCCACCTGCTCTTGCCTAAGCAATAGAAAGGAGTTCCCCTCTTTCTTCAGGACTATTCCCAGTGATACGTTCCAGGT